GAATTCGGGACGCAGCGAGTAAAAGAGGAAGCCTCTTTTCGTTGAGATTGTACTGAAATTGTGCCTATTGGTGTTGTTTTGTAGGTGAAGGAGCCATACAACCCTGCCAGAAAGAACCCGTTTTTCAATGGCCTTTTGAGGCTTGATGATCAGAATCCTAGCCCTCCTACTGTTGATTTTCCGGCAATCCCTGGAAGGCGGAACATTTCTCGTACCATGTCGGATATTGGTAACACTCTCACAAGAAAAGGCCAGGTTCCATTCTCTGATGATAGTGTTCTTGAGCCCTTTGAAAGGGCGAAACTTGGTAAAACTGCTTCATTTGCATTTGCTAATGTTCAGCCAGTTTCTAGCTTTGATTTGGGGAAATTAAATGAGCCCGCCATTGAAGCAAATGATCGTAAGCATGGTAGAGTAAATGGTCTAGCAAGTGTCACAAGTGGGAAATCATTCAGGGTGAAAGGACGGAAAGAAAACCTGTCCACAGTTTCACTTCCTCAGTCTGCTGCATCGTTTTATAATGGGGACTCGCCGCAATTTGAAATTGTTGCATCGTGTCCAAGCATGTACAAGCTTAACTTGTTTCTTAAAGCCACAAAGGATGAAGTTAAGGCCGGTGTCCCGGGAAAATTCTTACATGTTGTAATGGCTCAAGATGTTGCTGGTAATGCCTGCCTTAATTCTCCTTTCCAACATTTCTTTACTTATACTTTTGTGATTTCTGTATCATTTTTTTTTAAATTTACATCCATATGTAAGTAACCACATTGTGCTACTGTATGAGTTTCAAAACAAACTTAATATGCCCTGTATACCCTGAAAGGATAGAAAACATTTGAGTTGTTATCCAGTCTAATACTATATAGATGTTTTGCTGAACTCAATATGTCCATAAACTTTATCAATACAAATTAAAAAAGTAAACTTAATATGTCCATAAATTTTATCAATTCGACTTGAAAAATAAATCTAAGAAACACCTGTATTTTGATGCTGATAATGTGTTTCGGATGGGTCGTTGAGATTTCTCTATCTTTCAGCCAAATTTGAGAATTTATGTCAGTATACATTTTTGCCTCTCTTTGACAATTTGCAGATGTTGGATCTGTTGCTTCAACCATCAGTTATGCCTTCTACCTGAATGAAACACAAAAATCTGACCAATTCTGCACAGTGCCTGTCATCAACATGAAGAGGTCGGACATAAATCCTAAAGCTGAACTCAAATGGTTACTTGATTCTTGTCAAATTGATCAGTCATCCTTAATATTCGTGGATGAGGTACGTTCCGTTGACTACTGGAATTTTTAATGTTTTATGGTGTTCTTGTATTAGCTTTCACTTAGATAGGTCAGAGACCAAAGATAGGTACGTTCCATTGACTACTGGAATTTTTAATGTTTTATGGTGTTCATCTATTAGCTTCCACTTAGATAGGTCAGTGCTGATGACCAAAGATAGTCCAACTCCTTTTATTTTAACTTTCAGTCAAAGTTTTAATCCCTGTCGTGATTTTCTTGGTGAAACTAAATACAAGATTTACATTATCCCTTCAAGCGTTCTAAAACACAGCCTTAATCCTCAGTTTACTGCCCCCCATGTTGGCTCCCTTACTGCCCCCAATCATTCACCGCTCCCTGCCTCTCCCCTATGTGGAACAACCATATCGTTGAATCATATGTGAATCATTTGGTTTTAGAGTTGACTTATCCGGATTCTTTTCTTTCTCATTTTAAATGCCTTTACCTGTGAGTTTGTGACTAGCTGGGGCCTGACTTATAACTTTTCAATTAGGACATGTCTGTTCAACTTATGAGTTTATCTTTCACGTGAAATTTGGAGCAGATTGATCTGTCATATTATGATCTAGTTGGGAGTCTTAAAGTAGTTCTATTAAATGGCCACAAGCTCCCAGCCAAGCAAGAGGTAAATCAGATTTGAAAATTTCGATGTACTTGAATTTTTAACCATGGTAAATGATTCATACTCTTGTCTTCCTATAACAGGCATTGAAAGAGGCTGTAGTGGAAAATTTCAATTGCAAACAGGTGCTTTGCTGAACTCAATGTGGATATGTTTAAGCTTATCCTGCTACTTGCTGACACGTTCAATATAGTTAAGATTTTGTTTTGTTTAACAGGGAGAATCTGTATATCCCTGGGTCAAGAGTGTTACAGTAGCAGAGGTATGATCGAAACTTATTCATTATAACCTTGGCAGCTTCATTATTTTGTCCCAATTGTTCATAACATGAATGAATGTGCTGATTATCGTGTTATAAACAGGATAGCTCATGCTGTACAGTTGTTGCTGAGAAGTTTTATCTGATTTCACCTGAGATTTTGGCTGGACAAGGATTCAGTAGACTTTTGGTAGCTTCCTTTTTCCTTTTCCATGCTCTAAAATGTGAACAACTTATTTCGAGATTTAAAAGACATATCTCTCTCCCTCTCATGGCCCACCATAGAGGCCATGTACTTGTGCAGCAACGATATAAACCATTCCCATGATTTTAAGAAATTTTTCTTGGCCTTTTGATTTTCTTTTATTCCTTATCCTTTTTATTTCTTTCATCTTTCCTTTCAGCAGATGTGTATCATGATGGTACCTATTCCCCGTTTCTTTACTTAGGTTCAACTTGTAGCATAAGATAGGTAGTCAGATCCTTACCACTTATAGTAGCTAGCCCTTTGAGTTCCTGGGTGGGAGGATCGGTAGTTGGAAGCATGGTTTGCCATGAATTGCTCTTAAGTTTGGACTTTTAGTTTTCCCTCCATTGCCTTATTACATTACTTTTCCTCTGGAATTCCTATTTCTTGCAGTTAGCTGCCATCCTTTTAGACTCCACAAACTTGTGCAGTTCTCATTGTTCGACCAAGGATAAGTACATGTCTGCACTGTTAATCCATGGTGCTGGTCGCTTTGGATGCAATGGCCTTTACCAGTTATGTATATATCATCCACTACGTGCCTATCTATCTTTTTAATTTACTTTATTTCCTCAAAACTTCTTCCTCTAAATATAATTTTTTATTTCAGTGAGATACAAAATGTACAATGTATCTAATCTCAAGATTAGTGATATATTGCGCAAGGATTTCAAAAAGTGGACAAGAGTAGGTCTGGACTTGAACTAACCTCAGTCCTTTTAAGCTTGTCATGGGATTTGTTTTTGCCCTTCAACATAATGGAATATCCTTCCACTAACATAATAGTTGTTCAAACAGGTAAACCGGAGGGTCCTGGTGCTAGAACATCACAAATCGGGATGAGTTCCACTGGAATGCCAATTTCACAGCTTCTTGAACATGAGAACGCCTCATTGCGTGAAATTAAAAATTTCCAACGTAAGTATAAAATTTTCTTTCATTAAATTCTCGTGAGGTAGTTGATCCATAAACATCTTTCATATCGCTAGAAACAGAAGTCTTGAAGCCTTTACTAGTCAGTTTGTTTACTGATTTGAGATAGTAGAGGTCGACCTTTAATCCTATCTCACTTCAGTTATTTACGTTCTTTTTATGCCTCTAATAATGTTAGTAACATACTATAATGTTGAAGATATCATATTGCCAGTAGCTTTTTATTGCCACTCACTTACACGTCTTTTAACCTTCTTTTCTGTGTTCCAAACTAAGTTGATGAATTTCATTGTTTTTTATTGTTAATTTCAGAGATGGAGAAACTTCGGCTTCTCGTGGTTGTTTCTGGGTATTATGATTCGAAAAAGAACTTCAAGGTTAGAGACGTGCTTATATAAGTTATCTTTGACATTTTCTCTTTTTGTTAATGCGTGTTCTACCCGTTAATGATCTGGTAGGCCCTGGGGATTAATTTAAAATGAACCTATTTCAAAGAGGGTTTGAATCTTATTTTCCTTTGTGAGTCATGATTAATAAAGCCAAAGCTTCGAGTGAGTTAAGGTTTGAGAGACAATTCTAACTTCCATATTCGAACAACTCAAACTTCTGCGTTTAATGTGATTGAAATATTTTGTATCCTAGTTTTGGACTGCCAAATGCTCATCTAAGGGCCTTTTGGCATTTCTTTGGTCATGGGACGGGGAGTACTGTAAACAAATTGAGCCAAGTATGCGCTCAATTAAAAAGTAACCCACCGACTCTTGAGTATCCATACATATTTTGCTGCACTCACAGTCTCTGGTTTTTTTTTTTTTTTTTTTTTTTTTTCAGAACAAACTGAATATGTAATCTAGAAAAAGGGTTGTGTAGCGCTAGCATTTTACCATCTTATGGTAGAGGCTTTGACATTGCCCATATATTTGGTGTAATACAGAGAGAGATCCTAGTGTCAGCGGAGTCAGTGGAGCTCATGAAGAATCTGCTGTTTTTCTTCAATTCAGGTGCTTCCCAACTGCCACTCAAAGCAATCCATCAGCCAGGTAAAGAATCACTTCAAACTAATACAAGCCATTCCTTTATTGTTCTTGCTAATAAGTTGCGTATTTATTTCTTTTGATTGCTACACATCATGCCGGGTTCAAAAGATGGTTAAATTGCATTATCGTTTGATGACGGTATTAAACTTCCCCATGGTGCTCATGCAGGTCTCGGAGAGGAGGAGATGCAAGTATTTGAGATTGACAAGGTCACGTCAAGAAAGACCATTGAGCGCCTCTTAGAAGAATTTGGTGGGACTTCGAAAGGCTAATGGTCAAACGAATACTGGATATTCAAATTTTACTGTAAACTCTCTTAGTTTTCCAAAATGATATGCAGTGCGTATATAAAAACTTTTGATGGATGATCCTGTAATGACAAGATTGAATTAGAACGAAAACCCGATGATAGGCATGTTGATTGCAGTAGAACTCTCTGTTGAGATTCGAGAGAGACTTTCGGGTGTTGCTTGAGATCCGTATATATGAATGCCATGTAGTTTGTTTCCAGCATTTCCATGCTTCTACTCCGGAAATCTGTACCATAACAAACCGCTGGCTACTGTCAAGACTGGAAAAACGACATGTAATACACAAATAATTGCAGAATATAAATGTGTATATTAGTGTATTTTCTGATTTATTACAACAGAAACTGTTTTTTCAATTGCATGTGTTCAGTTTCTTCTCTGCAAAGTGCTTTCGGTAGCGTGCTTCGGCTTCAGCTCCAACTTAAACTCTGATCCTATAAGAATCGATATGTCGGAAATCACTGCTGTGACAAACTGCTTGTTACAGTCAAAGCTGGCTCTAATATCCGAGTTTGCGTTCAAATTTGCTCCCTTAGTAATGTTGAATGCACACCCTTCCAATCCATGACCAACCTTTTCCAACCCAATGAAGGTAACTTTATCAATGATCCATTTTTCACTTAAAGCGAATCCTCCATTTACAACCTTTGAGCTTACAAATACAGTTCCATTTTCTGTTCCACTATAAAATCTCACTAAACTCCACTTGCCTCCCTCTCCTCCCATTTCAATTTCCTCTCCGTCGTCCACGAAAACTTCTCCTGTACTTTGTCTGTTACTGCTAACGACCACCAAAAGCTCGAAAGCAGTCTTTCGGGCTGCTTGTGTTGTCAAGGCCTTTCCTTGCAATGCCAAAATATTTCCTTCACAAACATGCACATTGATATGATCAGGCGGCGCATCCAACCTAACGTGCTGTCCTGAACTTACACTTACAGATTTTGAGTAGTTGAAGAGATCAAACCAGTTTCCAGCAGGAAAATATGCATCAACTGAATTGACTCCCGGTTTCAGTACAGGTGAGACCATTACACCTCGACCAATTAGAAACTGCGTATTGATCTCGTAAGTTGTGATATCTTGAGGAAATGAAAAGAAAAGGGGTCTTGCAATTGGGGTTCCCTTTTTGTGTGCCTCATACATTGATGTGTAAAATAAGGGGAGCAACCGGTAGCGCAGCCCAAGCACCTTCCTGGATGTTGCTGCCACTGAGTCCCATAGATAGAGCTCTTGACGGATTGTAAACTTTTCGGAGTGATCTCTTGAAAAGGGGTAAAAGGCCCCAAGCTACATGTAGACATAACTAATTTAGTCACATTAGATGTCAATAAAGTCAAATATAAATCAAGATATATAACGTAGTCTAATATGTATGGGAATTTTCTAGGTTCATTAGTTACCTGAATCCATCGCCGGCAGAGTTCTTCGGTAGTATCTCCAGAGAATCCACATATGTCAGCTCCAACCATTGGAACTCCGAAAAGTCCAAAATTTAAAATGCCTGGAATTGTATATGCCAGATCACTCCATCGTGCAGAATTGTCACCAGTCCAGTGTGCTGTGTACTTACCGGAGCTTACAAAAGTCGATCTAGAAAGTATAAACGGTCTTTTACCAGTTACATTGATTAAGGCGTTGCTTGTTGCCTTGGCTTCCAAGAGTCCATACAAATTATGTGCATTATATTCTGTAATGTTACCAAAGTGCAGCGCTGATGCCGGAACAGTATTGTTATTGATCGGACGCAGGACTCCAGAATTGTTAACCTTGTAAGGAGGGTCATCAAGTGTAGAAGATGGAGTGGGAGGGGAGGTTCTGAAATTGGATAGCTCATTCATATCGAGCCAAAGACCGTCAAATGGCAGAGCCTTTTGAAATATTTGCATCTCATTAGCCCAATATTTTTCACTTTCTGGATGTGCAAAGTCTGGGTAGTACACATCGCCGGGCCATACATTTCCCAGGTAAGGAATTCCGTCGCGTTTGATGAAAATATCTGCTTCCTTCCCTCTGATGTAGGTTTCATAGGTGTCATTATTACTAATACCTGTCAAAGAAAGGATATGATCATTTCCTGCTATTCTGTTTCGATAATATGAATATGCACTTAGTGTATAGGGTTTAGGCCGCGTACCAGGGTCCAAGATGAGGACATATTTCTGACCATTTTGGTGAAGAGTGCTTACAAATTTCTTCATCTTATCCAATGGAAAGTTGACGGGATCGAGAGTGAAGTCCTTGTAAGCATCCATGTAATCGATGTCCGTCCACATAACTTCAAGAGGGATGCCGGCTTTTGTATAACCAGCAACCACGCCCTCAAGATCCGAAACATTCTTGTAACCCCATCGACACTGGTGGAATCCTTCAGCAGGGTATGAAAGCAACTAAGTATGAATGGTAAGTACATATGAAACGTAATGTCTTCCGTAGTCTTTTTATTTCCCCTTAACCATTGATGAATAAGTGAATGAAATGGTTATGGTTCAAAAATGAAATCAAAACTAAAAAGCATACTATTTTAGTAGGACTAACAATCAAAATGAAACCACATCGTCAGTTGACATGGTATAGATAAAAGTATTTTTAGTCGTAATAGTTGACGTAACAAGTGGACTCACTGTCACATACATGTCACACAACCAATATGTGACACGAAAATGTTACTGCTCTAGCAGACTAGCACTTCTTTGGTAGGATACATAGCTAACAAAGTTAAATATACAATTTAAAGCAGCAAACTTACCAAAAGACCAGTAGGGCATAGGGGCAGGGCGGCCGATTAGTTCTGTATACTGCTCCACTACCAACTCAGGTGTCGGCCCGGCAAAGAAGTACAAGTCCACAATTCCACCGATGACCTTATAAGTAATCCTATCACCGCTGTATGTTATGTCCATGCCATTGCTATTCAGCAGCAGCACTCCATGAGATGTTCCAGCACCGGTCTTGCCGCCAGCTTGAGACGCCGACCTGACGTCCAGGTAGAAGGGGTGGGACCCGTAAAGGTTGACGTCGGGATTGACGCTACCAATGTCGGCATTCCAGAGAGTCAATGTCTGATTGGGAATGATCTTGAAGGAGGACTTGGTGTGCTCGCCGAGGCCGAAAATGGAGGATCTGTTATGGGGGAGAGAGGAGGAGAGTTGGATGTATTGGTCCTTGAAGACCAAGAAGGTGTTGGGGTCTGACGAGTGGGGGGAGGTGTCGAAGATGACGTCGTTGGAGGAGCAGCGGGCGACGGTGAAGCCGAATGGGGTGGTGTTGCGGAGAGTGAAGAAAAGGTCGTGGGAGATGCAGTGGTGGTGGGGGGTGGGGGTTTTGGTTTGGCGGGGGATCATGTCTTGTGGGATTTCCCATCTTTGCTTCTTTGAGTCCGCTATTCGAATTCTTAGACGATCTTTGGTTTCATAGCTGCATGCATGATTAAGATTATGTTGTGAAAATGTTTTCTCGCTATAAAATTTGATGACATGAAATGTCTATTTTGTAAATCTTGAATCTGAATTATTTAACTTTCATAACAGTTTGCAAAAATGAGCGTAACTATATTGGTTAGAGTCACCGTGCTATTCTCTATTCACCCGAATTTAAACCACTCTTATTTTGTTTAAACTAAAGCATCATGCTTGTATGAAAAAAAAAAAAAAAATGAAAAAAGAGCAGGTTTTGGCCAAACTTATGAAAAGGCATTGGTGGGCAAGGGACTTTAAATTGGAATATTTTCTTAGCATCTACGATGGACGGTTCAGATGTCTTATTATTCTGATCTCTTGGTCAACCCCAAAAAAATAATTGAGAATAAAATAAAATAAAAACGTAATCTTGGAAAGCAACCACAACAGCTAATATAAGCAAGATAAGATTAATCTATCAAGTTAAATTAGTGAGTAGGGGTACCTGGCGTGAAGGTTGAGATTTGGGATGTCAGGTCCGTAGAGGGAGGAGGACTTGATGAGGCCAAGATTAGCAGTCAATGAGTTTCCGGAGGAATCATAGTGGACGGATTGAATTTTGTATCCATACCCAACTGCTGCTTTTGCTTCTGCTTCTGCAATTACTTTTGCAGATGATTAGAAGACAGAAAATAGACGAGAAGAAGAAGAATGGCAGATGCAGATGCAGATGATGATACATTGGTTTTGGTGGATTTGATGATCTCTTTGTTTTCATAACTCTTGTGTTCTTCCACTTCTACTAGTTGGTCTTCTGTGGAGTCGAGACTTTTTGATGAATAATTCATTACTTTTCATTTTGCATTGTATGTGTGTGGTGTATATAGCTTTCATCTGTAACCCCCACGCACGCATGGCGAGTCTCCACTTCATTTGTATGGTTTTTTCCTGTGTTCTTTGGTAATATTGTTCTTAATCATTATTATTAATTGTCAGAGTTATCTCAGTCCTAGGAGGATTCGTCGGATCCTTTTTATGCGGATCCTCGCAGAATCCTCTTTGTGAGGATCTTGGAGATTCTGTAATCACATCATTTTATCATACATCGTGTAATAAAAAATTATTGTAAATTTTTTTATTTAAAATTGAATATAAACAATATCTGATAAAAACTGACCATACGATGTACGATGAATATATGTGATTAAAAGATTTTCGGGATTCCCACAGATAAGATTAAGCGAGAATCCTCTCTTATCTTAGTCAAGCACCTTTTTTTGAAAATTCTTCTTTTAGCTGGTGGGCCATTTTCATAAGCTAGTGATAAGAAACAAAATGCTCTCACGCATGCTTTGCATATGGATAAAACAATTATTTTACAATGAGAAAGAGGGATAATAGTGGCGAGAAAAGTACAAAGATATTAATATTTTTTTATTGATTTAAATGATTGTTTAAAACATTGTTGGTCATTGTGGTTTGGACCGAAACCCTATTCTTTTTTTTTCTTTTTTTTTTTTTTCTGAAAACGACCGAAACCTTCTTTTATTATCTTTAAATCTTGTTATTTTCTACATCGCACATCTCATAGGCTTCACCGATCAATTATAAAATAGCATAAGGAAAAGATTGGAAAGAGGAATTTAGGTGGATGATATGGGAGAAGTTTAAAGTCTAGCATATCACACATTACGGAATTTTTATTTTTTTAGTAAATTGATATTTTTATACTAAGAAGAAGAAGATAGAGTGTTCGGCTAAGCCACATAATGGACAACCTAATTTGATATCGAATTTGTCATCCACGAGATTCGAACCTAAGGCATCTCACTTCCAAGTGAAGAGGAATACCACTAGACCGTAGTACTGAGTGTTTTTTATTTATTTATTTATTTTTTTAACAAATAATATTATTTACACTAAGGGGAGGGGGTGAGCTTAGCCTCACAATGGACTATTAATAATGTGGTATAAATTCGCCTTTGGCAAGAATCGAACCTAAGACCTCTTACTTACAAGTGAAGATGAATACTCTTAAATCATAATACTAAGTGGTCATACAGTAAGAATATTAGAACAAAACATTGAAGCTAAAGACAAAATTACATAAGGAATATTGACAACAATCCACTTTGCCTTTCAAATAAAAATATAGGTTCGAAGTGATGCATTGTTTTGGTAGTTAGAGTCTTTCTTTTAATTCATTATATTCTAAATTCAAACTCTAGTGTGTAATTTAGTATATAAATATCGTTTATAATACAAAATAATAATGTTAGACACACCAAATTTTTTAACCAAATAATGTATCGTCAATCAAATTTTTACTTCAAGATAGACTTTGATTAGTAATTGTAACAAAAATTTATATAGCGTAGAATGTGTCAAATCATTTGGTGCTTAAATTGAGTGTATATAATATCACCCATTTAAGAAAATTAAGAATTAAAATAATGGTAATAAATATCATATCATTATGATTTATTTAGTTATTTTCTTTTAATTTTCTTGCCTTGAATATCATGATGGCAAATAATGAAAATATTCATAAAACAAAATAATGTAAATAAAAATGAAAGAAATCTTGAGGATATGCTTTGTAGACATAAAATATGTCTTGTACCAAATTGGAAATTGCCAATGACAGCTCAAAAGGGCATCAAACTTATTTATTGTGGAAGGGCAATATAGTCAGAAGGAAATGGGCCGAATAGTAACGGCTAGTAGGAAAAGTTGCCGTTGGATGTTCATGCGTGAGAACCGGGAAAAAAATTTCACGCTCACCTATAAAGCAGATTCAGAAGATTTTGCCCTATTGTTTTGGTTTGTTTGGACTTTCCTGTCAAACTTTCTCAAGTCCCCAAAAGTTCCCAAGTTCTCAACTCTGCTGGGTTCTCACTCACTCAGTCCACCATGAACATCTTCAAGAAGAAGACCTCCCCCAAAGGTTTCCTCTCTCTCTGGGGTTTCATTAGTTCTTTTCACTGATTAGGGTTTTTGCATTGCCACTGTGTTTGGTGCGTGAGGAAATGTGGAAGAAGAAATGGGTTCTTTTTATTTTTGATTCTCAGTTTTTGTGGGGTTTTCTAGTTTTTGCAGATTTATTTATTGCTGGTTGTCTGTTTGGTTAAATTTGTGAATGCATTGTTAAATTGATTGTGTATTTGAACAGAGGCTCTCAGGGAAAGCAAAAGAGAAATGAGTGTTGCTACAAGAGGTGTGTTTTCTTCTCTTTATATTGTTTGAATTTGCTTCAAAATTGCTGATGATATCAAATGTTTGTTTTATTTTGTCTGTTGAATCTCTGCAAATTTAGTTTCCTGTCATTTCCTTGGATTTGTGTATAAAAACGAAAAAAGATGCTATCAATTGTTCCTTTTAATTTCCATGCTTTTCATGGTTTGCTGCTTTATTGTCGGAAATGCTCAGAATCTACAATTTCTTCGATCACAAAGTTCCAAACTTTTTCAGTGTAGTGCGGCTAAAATTATGTATTACTCTTTGGTTGGAGTCAACAGATTGAAACTACAATATTTAGTGGTTTAACTTGTTTTTCTACCGTGCTCCCATTTTTCTCTTACAGGAATTGAACGTGAGATCGCATCTCTTCAGTTGGAGGTACATGTTACAGTTACCCTGAACCTTCTGATTGATTATGTTTTCTGATGCTTCCCTCAGTGTCCTCATTGTTTCTACATTTCAGGAGAGGAAATTGGTGGCGGAGATCAAGAAAACAGCTAAAACTGGTAACGAGGCAAGTTTACTTTTCCGTTTAAGTTACTCTTTCCTCGTACTAGTTAATATGGGAATTAGCTGTTTTCACTTCTAAGGGGCGATCGGCCTCATCATATAGGTTTGCAACTTTGAAGATCATAAGTACGCAGCTCAACATATTTTTCACAATATGATTTGGATGTATTGATTAGTATTACCTTACCACGTCTTTTGAATTTAGTTCTTTTATTTCAACCATTTGACTTTTAAGATAATTTGATGCACGTAGATTGATGCCGGAGTAGCCATCCGAAACTATATTATATCTACTGTAACTGAATAAAAGAATAAATGACAAATCAAAAATTAAAGGAGGGCTTTAGCAAGTGGCAATTCTTAGTGTGTAAGTGATTGCTACTTCAGGTATTAGGAGAAAACTAACCTACATAAATTTGCTCCATTACTGATACATTACCAAACTGAGCTGACTTGTTTTCCAATGTTACTTTGTGGAATTTGACAAACTATGAGAGGAATGATCCTTTGCACGAATAGATACTGCATACCGCATACTATACGTAGATGGGTGAATGTTCTGCAGGTTAGCTTATGCAGTAAGCTGGCAAAACCCTGTCAGTCATGTTGTTGGACCTAATCATTCATTTTTACTGAGTTATCAATAAGTTTTATCCAGGCTGCCACCAAAATCCTTGCTCGTCAACTCGTTAGGCTACGTCAACAGATTACTAACTTGCAAGGAAGTCGTGCCCAAATCAGAGGTGTAGCTACCCATACACAGGTCAGCATTTTATGCTTTGAATTCAGTTGAAAGATTATGATATATATTATGAGGCGAGCAACTTTCTGAGTCTCGGTATCCTTGCAATATGTTTGCAGGCATTATACGCAAGCACTTCTATTTCTACAGGCATGAAGGGTGCAACTAAAGCAATGGTGGCAATGAACAAGGTATAGATATCAAGAGAATTTCGTATGATTAAAAAAAATTGCAGATTTACTAGTTATTACATTTTTCTTATTTGGAATCATCTAGTCCAGCTCTGGAAATTAACTAAGTATTGTTGTCATTATCTATTTCTCTTTTCAGCAAATGGAACCTGCAAAACAAGTTAAAGTGATCAGAGAATTCCAGAAGCAGGCAGCACAAATGGATATGACGGTAATACTAATGGTTTCCGGTAATAATTTCTTGGTTAATTCAATGTTGGTTTTAATCAAATGAACACACAACGTGAACCTACTTTCCTCCCTGATTGGTCAACTGTTATGTTCTAGAATGCACATGTGTAAAATATGACATCCTATTGTCGTCTATGCAGATAGAAATGATGTCAGAGTCTATTGATGAAACCTTGGACAAAGATGAGGCTGAAGAGGAAACAGAGGAGCTCACTAACCAGGTGGAGTATCGGTGTCCTTGTAGTAGTTTTGTTTTCTTGTACGGGTATCTCAGCATTATCTTGTTAATCCAGAACTCAAATATTTCATTTTTCAGGTGCTCGATGAGATTGGTGTTGATATTGCATCCCAGGTTGGTGCTTTGAGATTGATAGCTCACATGAGTTTGCTTGATTATTGTTTTTCTTTTTTGTTTTAAACCAACTACTGCTCTTTGATTCTTGTTCTCGTTCCTTACAGTTATCTTCAGCTCCAAAAGGCAGAATTGCATCGAGAACTACCGTAAATGTAGCTCCGAGGAATGCTGAAAATGTAGCTTCAAGGAATGCTGCTGAAAATGTAGCTTCAAGGAATGCTGCTGAAAATGTAGCTCCAAAGAACGCTGCAAATGTTGTTAACAGGTATGTCCATTACTGACTATTAGAAACACCAAATGATTTTTCCTTCTTTAGAACTGAGTAATTTGTGTATGATCAGGATTTCAGAAGTTTATATTTTGTATTTAGCATTGGACTGAATTATTTGATTTTTCTAAGAGAAAAGCACCAGCACTGAAATGATTCGTAAGCGCGTAAGAAAGTAGGTGGACAAAACAGGTTGACATTACTTTTCTACATAGAAGGCATCATCATATTTTTACACGAAACTGTTGCCAACAGGTTGACTTTTTTAAGTTAAGGGCATCATCAGATATTTACACTAAACTGTTGCTAACTTGCCTTAATAAACTAGTATTGCTTGAGATTGAATCAAATTCAGAATGTGATTGGTCACATCATCAGTACCATTGAGGGGGCTTAAGCATGTCTTATACATTCACGACCATTTTCGTGTGGTATTCATAGAGTTATTGGCTTAAGCATGTCTAATACATTCACGACCATTTTCGTGTGGTATTCATAGAGTTATTTTTTTGTATCATAATGAAAGGTTATCTACGTTGAATTTTCTCCTTTTTTTGATAGATAGTTGTAGTAAAATGCTAGCGTAAAGTTATTGGCTTAAGCATGTCTTATACATTCACGACCATTTTCGTGTGGTATTCATAGAGTTATTTTATTGTATCATAATGAAAGGTTATCTACGTTGAATTTTTTCCTTTTTTTGATAGATAGTTGTAGTAAATGCTAGCATAAAGTAGGTCGACACAACAGGTTGATTTTTATAAACAGAAGACATCATCAGATTTCTAGGACAGTCTTTCTGCCAACTTTCCATGATTAATTATCATTGCTCAAGTTTGAGTCGTAACTTGAAGAATGATTGCTCACATAGTCGATACCATTGAGGGGGTTAAGCATTCTAAAGTATTCGTATTCATTTTGGCGAAGTTTTGACATTATTGACTTCCTTTCATATTTGGGTAGATGCTTTGAAAGCTGATTTGGTGCCAGAGGAAATTGATCAAAAGCCCATGTTTTGAAATTATTGATTTTTAACCCTTTTGGTTTTGTTTTGAAATCATGTTTGGATCAGATATTTTATTAGATTCAATGTATGTTGAAGTAAGAAATGAATCCCAACTTTCAAATTATGTGCAACTGGAAAGGATATTGATGGATTAGTCATGAAGAAAACTTATTTCAGTTTCCACAAGTTATTAGGATTGGACGGGATTCCTTCATGACTAATACACACCTCATACCATCAAAGGTATCATTAGATTTCTACGACAAACTGTTGCCAACTTACCATGATAAACTAGTATTGATTGAGTTTGAATCGTAAGTTGAAGAATAATATGCTCACATGATCAAAACCATTCTGGTCCGTTTTCATCCTAACACTCTATCTTAACTGTATGCAGTGCTGAATCATCTGACGTTGAGGATCTTGAGAAGAGGTTGGCCTCTCTGCGACGTTTGTGATCCCGTTAAGCTTGCGGTGCTCAGATCCTGATCATCATAATCATAGTAAATCTGTTCGTGTAAATTTAATCAAATTACAAAGCAAAACCATATAAAAGAAGAATATATTGTAATAATAGTAGGATTCCCTGGATGTTATATTTGTTCAGCAACTATTTGGATTGGACGGAGACTCCAACTACTATATAACGAAGTTGTTAGTTTTCATGACGGTGGTGCCAAACATATTTGCTTTCTTTCAGTCTCTGTCTGGTCCAACATTTGTTGTCACTGTGATGTTACCATATTTGCTTTCATTCTATTTTATTTTTCTGAAAACTTGAAAAAAATTTGTAGCAGGTGGTCAATATTTAAACTTTGGTAGGCCAACCATGGCAAACTACTGTGTGGTATGCCAATTTTGGGTAGAAATTGCTAGGAAGCCATTAATTAATGTGCGATTAACATCAAATGGCTTGTTTGAACAATTCCATCGTTTTTAGCTTTTATTTTTTATTTTTTTATTACGAGCGATATTGGTTATCTAAGCCAGACTAAATGGAGGGCTAATTTAGGTGGCCAACCTAGGCAACTAAGTACATATTAATTGGAAGGAGTGCTAAATTGCTAATTTTTAAATTGGCTCTCCTAATTCAACACGAAATTTAAAAAATTGAAAAGGGGTTATTGATGAAGACATGATATTGCGATTCCTCATTACATTAAGGGGAAAAAAGGAATATGATATTTGAAAGCAGAAAACACAATTCTCAGTTTGATTGCTTGTCTAGTGACGTCGAAGGCGAACCTGGAAGCCCTTTCTCTGGTGTTGGCATCATATCACCTGTGATCTTCTCCTTTGGAAACACAACTTCCCATTCGAACCTCTTCACCACATTGTGCACGAAAGTGAGTATCGCTAGGCGAGCGTACTCTTTCCCGGGGCACATTCTGGGACCTCCTCCAAATGGAACCAGTGTGAAAGCCGGGAATGCATTTAGGTCCTCGTATCTTGATGGATCAAACTTTTCGGGGTTAGGGAAGTACTGTGGGTTCATGTTTGTTGTACTCACAGTCCAATATACCTTCCAGCCCTTCGGGATGGTGTAACCGGCGTAGGTAAAATCTGTCAAGGCCTCTCTGAATGTCCCCTGAAGTGGCGGTGTGAATCTCATGACTTCATACAACACATTCCACGAGTACTTCATTTTGTTGATGTCTTCCCACTCCAAAAAGTCTCCTGGCTTCTTCGAGTCAGCAATCTCCTTGTGCTCTGAATTCAACAAGAAAAATCAAATTTTAGCACCAAAGAAATGTGACCTATATTCCCCAAGTTCAATAGGTAGGACCAAAATTAATGAAACGAAGTAGAAATGTTAAGTTGGAGTGGTTGGTAATTACCAGCTAGGACCTTGGCATAAATGTCTGGCCTCTCTCCAACATATTTCATGAAGAAAGTCATAGCAGTGGCCACAGTGCTATATCCTGCAGTCAATAAACCCATGATCTTGTCTGCAACCTCAGCCTCGGGCATGTGTTTGCCGGATGGATCACTAGCCACGATCATATGTGACAATATATCATGCATGGGACCTCCTGCGGCCATTGCAGCCTTCTTCTCCTGAATCACAATCCTCAACTCCTTTCGTAGCGCATCGGCTGCTTTGGTTGCCTTATAGAATGTTGTTCCTGGAAAGTTGATAATAAGTGAATGCATCCCAACGGTAACATCATCAAAATTGCTCACCAGCCTTGCAATTCGCTCGGAATCATCGATCCCCAAGAAGAATCTGCAGGCAAGACTTAGAGTGAGTGTCTTGGCCAAAGGGTAGACCTTGACCTCATCTTTGCCTTCCCAATAGGCCTTCATCTGTTCCTGAGTGATAGAGTCCATTTTCCCCAAGTACCTCACCAATGCTTCCGGCTTCAAAAACCCCGGAGATCTGATAACTTTCGCTTCTTCATCGCGAGAAGGTTGTGCCACAGCGGGAGCAGCAGAAGCAGTGGGGGCGGCAGCCTTGTATGATCGAAACATCTTTTGCATCGAATGTGGTCGAAAAGCTGTGAAGTACTTTTGTTCATTGGAGAACAGAAATTTGTGTCCGCTAGGACCACAGATCACAGCAGTTTTCTCTCCAAGAATATAGGTCTTGAAGATGTCAGGAGAGTACTTCCTCATCCTATTGAACACAAAATTTTCCGGCTTCCCGAACAAGAACTCGATTGATTCACCCACAATAGGCCACCCCATGCTCCCTGGTGGAAGGTTTTTTGCACCATCTGATTTGCCTTTGAGTGCAAAGATCGTAAAGGCTAAGAAAGCAGCACCCACAGAAAATATAAGGTAAAGGGTCTCCATGGCTGGAATTTGGTGCTGATCAAGGCTCAAATTTCTTATCTGAGACTGATTGAAGTTAGCAAGAGGAGTGGTGTGTAGGAGGCTTGGAAAGTTAGGGTTTTATAGGGCAAGATCCGACTGTGTCAACATTTTGATTTACCCGTAGCACACCAAAAGTGACAAGCTTAAAATATTATTCAGAAAGGCTGGCTTGCTTTGACATAAAATATTCAAACTTCAACACGCGATAAAATTAATTGTATATATATATTCATACAAAAACGCACAGGTACTTTCTCCATTGAATGTTTAGATGCCAACCCTTGGTTTATTGTAAATGCAATATATATTCTGATACATACCGTCTGTTTGGTTTGCTTTGTGTAATATGTTTAATTAATTAATCAATTAATTAATAGAATTTTTTTTTATATTTATTTTGTTTTTTAACAAACGATATTATCTACATTAAAAACAAAGGAGTGTGCTTAACCTCATAATAGGCTAGCAATAATGTTGTTCAAATTTGTCTTTTGACAAGAATTGAACCTAAAGCCTCTCATTTACAAATGAAGAAGAATACCATTAGACTGTAATACTTAATGACTTACTTTTTATTAAAGCAAACATGTCTTACTCAAACAATTGATGCCTAGCATTTTTATTCCACTTGCATGGAATCAACCAGTAACTAAGTCACTAAGTGACTAAGAGCATTCGCTTTTTCACCTGAATCACCTGAAGTTTTGGGTTTCTCCAAAATATATAGTCCAAACATATATTGCCAAATTTTGTTGCCTAATAAACTGATTAGTTAATACCACCAATATGAAATGGGACAAATATTAGAATCTTTGGGGATGGGGGATAAATAATAAAAAAACAATAGGTACCATGTTCTCCGATCCTTCTAAAGAGGCCTCTCCCAAAATTTATTGCTAGGTGGTCCTTCAATTTTCTTTTTTCTCATTGTAAACTTACTCCTGGTTCCTGTTCCAAACATCTTCATCCCCAAAATGCATAATTGCATCAAGAAATGCTGAAAAAATGGGGGGAAGGAATTTGCAGATGTTACCAGTTATGTGTTCATGAAAGGGTTTATGGCCATAGCTGAAACCTTTTTGCTGGAATTGTCTACTTAACTACTGCATTACTAAATTGGCTTTATAAAAGATCTTCCATAATTGGTTTTATAAAAGATCTTCAATAATTGGTTTTATAAAAGATCTTCAGGGACTTTCGATTACACATCTACTCATCTGTATCTTTGTTATTCATCAAAGTGGTTACCTTAAGATCATTAAGTATCAATCTCACATGCATGTAATTATACGTAATTGGACTACTCTCTCTAATATCATCTTTCTTCAAGATCTCATGTCTGATTGGAAGCTCGTTTTGATTGGAGATTCCATTCCGAATCGAAAATTTATGTTCTGAGTTTGAACATTTCTTTCGAAAATTTCCAAAAAATTTAGGTCGCAATTGAAATGTACCTATTAGATCTGAAATTTCGAAATTTCTCATAACTTAGTACTATAAAAAAATTATGCTTTATTTTGTATTTTGTATATTTAATTATATTTATCTTATATTAAAATAAAAGAATAATCATACACACTATTTATTATGTCTAATATGATTTTATGTCATATACACACGTAATGGCCTACAAATATAGCAAAAATGGTGGATATATATATATATATATATATATAAATGTTTGAAAATTTTCAAAGTCTTGCAAAATGTAGGAAATTCGAATTATGTTCTGAAATTCAAAGATAAAATCAATTCTAAAATTTCAATAATCCGAAATTCTGAAATTAGAATTAATATTTGATTTCGAATTTTTTTTGGATTGGCATTGGAATGCTTGTTTCTAATCCGGTCTGATTGAAAATCACCCATAGGTGTAACACATAAACTGTAATAGTCAACAGTCTTTAGGGGTTTTTTTTTTTTTTTTCGATTAGTCTTTAGGGTTCAAGGGTTTTAGCAAAAAAAGAAAAAAGTTAGTTTATTATTTAGTTTATGCAACGATATGTTTGCACTAAAGGGTGAATAAATAAATTAGTTTTGAATTTGTCACCCAAGATATTCGAACCTAAAATCTTTTACTGACAAAACTTAGTACTCTTTAAAGATACAATGTTATCTTTGTACAGTTTATACTAAACAGTGGAGAAATTAACCGTCATTTATCCACATCTCATGATTTAGGTGTGAAATTCTTCGACTCCCTTCTACTAAAAGAGTACACATGGGGTATGGAATTTTTCTCTAGAGTGCATGTGTGAACCCAATTATATAATTATAAATATTAATATTGACTTGCCAAGGTACTAAATATCTCATACATCATCGAAATATCCATAAAATTGGGTTATCCATACCCGAAAGGATGTGAAGCAATATTTTTCTAAGGTCTTTTTCAGAAATTTCAGAGACCTTTTGATAATATTGATTGACTGTTTTGATAATTTGGTGCAATATCGGGCAAAATTAGAAGCAATATCTTTCTAAGAGATTACCATTTCCAAACATAATTTATATCTTTTATATCTAGTTTTTAATATTGTTATACTAATATTTCCACCAATATTTATATATCTTTCTATAATTTCTACAGTTAGCCTACCGAAATTGAATCTTTGGGTGGTACATGCACCTCCTGAAAAACAGTCCCCCAGTAATTGAGAAGTTTTCGACCCAAACAAAAGAAGTAGAAATCAAAGTACGCAGTGAGGCGAATTAAGATTTATTGAAATGCTTGTAGTGAGTTTAATCCCATGTTCTATATTGTCAATTAATTTTATTGTGACCCTCTAATTATATCAAATGCGTGTGCAATTAATTTAATTTTAGCTAATTAAAGTCAAAGTAGAATTACTACTTATTTTATGGAACGGGCATGGTTGGGCAGGGATCCCATGATCGACAACAATCAACAGTGGATTAGACTCACTACAACCATTTCAGTAAACGGACACATGTGGTAGCCGTTTAGGGATTTTATTGTTGTTATCTTGCTTGAGCAAATTCACCTCTAGATCATTGTTTGGTCACTGGAGTATACCTATGTACTGTTTAAGATGATGAATGAAATACCAATCTAACAAAAAAGTAAATGGTATTTTATGGGTTGCTATTTAACCGAGGAAACAAGAAATAACTTTGTTAATTTGATACAGCTGATACCTTATACTAAAAATTTATTCAAATTACATATATTAAAATTCAAACTTGAACGCTGAAGCTAGAGCATATACTTTAATTACTTGACAAGACCCTATGTCGACAACTTTCTTTAATTTAAGGAACACATCATTTGTATAGTTTGAAGATAGCAGAATGTTACTGATTTTTGTTTTTATTTACTTCGTATCCCACTTCTGCTGAAAGTGATGGCCAGGCTGTGCTGAAAGTGATGCCCCGCCCAGGTCCCCAAATATAATTAACACCAATGAGTCTCGAAATATATGATTTTTTTTAATTTTTTTTTTGGGACTACATCGATATTTTTATCGTAAGGGAAGGAAAAGTTTGGCTAAGCTACACAGTGGACAACCTAATTTGGTATCGAATTTGTCATCCACGAGATTCGAACCTAAGATATCTTGCTTCTAAATGAAGAGAAATATCACCAAATCATAGTACTGAATGACTCGAAATATATGTTTATTATCTCTTTTAATTCAATCGCAAATATACAAATAGAAAACAGGTAATGGATAGCATGGTATTGCAATTTCTCACTACACGCAGGTAAAAAAAAAAAAAAAAAAAAGGCAAGTATTTCCAAGCTGAGAAAAAAAAAATTCAAAACAATATGAGATGACTAGTGACGGGTAAGGCGAACTGGAAGTCCTTTCTCCGGTGTTGGCATCATATCACCCGTGATCTTCTCCTTAGGAAATAACACTTCCCATTTGAACCTCTTGACCACGTTGTGAACGAAAGTGAGGATTGCTAGGCGAGCGTACTCTTTGCCTGGGCACATTCTTGGCCCTCCTCCAAATGGAACGAATGTGAAAGCTGGGAATGCATTTAGGTCATCATATCTTGATGGGTCAAATTTTTCTGGATTGGGAAAGTACTCTAGGTTCATGTTTGTTGTGCTAACAGTCCAATATACCTGCAAAATAATATAAATAATAACTTAGTTTCAATCAAAGAAGTCATTAGGTCACCAAATTAAGCTGAATAATTTTTTGACATTACTTGGCTGCAAATTAGTTGCTGACACATACTGAAGTGACTACTTATAAAAACTACAAAAAGAAAAGTATTTGGGCGTACGTCAAGTTATGTTTTTTTTTAGGTACGGTAAATAATTACATGTAAGGATCTAAGTATTGTCATGTTTTCAGAGCAACAAAAAAAGTGTGACACACCTTCCAGCTCTTTGGGCTGGTGTAACCAGCATAGCTAAAATCAGTCAAGGGCTCTCTGAATGTCCCTTGAAGTGGTTCATCACTTCATACAACACATTCCATGAGTACTTCATTTTGTTGATGTCTTCCCATTCCAAAAATTCTCCTGGCTTCTTGGAGTTTGCAATGTCCATTTGCTCTGTAATTCCACAAGACAATCAATTTTAACATTAAAAAAAAAAAAAAAAACCCCAAATCTCCAAATCCAATTTGGTAATCACAAAAATTATATAGAAATTAAGGTGAAGTGATTATTATTTACCAGCTAGAACCTTGGCATAGATGTCTGGCCTCTCCCCAACATATTTCATGAAGAAAGTCATGGCAGTAGCCACAGTACTATATCCTGCTGTGAGCAAACCCGGATCTTATCTGCAACCTCAGCCTCAGGCATGTGTTTGCCAGATGGGTCACTAGCCATAATCATGTGTGACAATATATCATGCATGGGATCTCCTGCGGCCATTGCAGCCTTGTTCTCCTGAATCACAATCCTCAACTCCATTCGCAGCCCATCGGCCGGTTTGGTTGCCTTGTAGAATGTTGTTCCTGGGAAGTTGATAATAAGTGAATGCATCCCAACGGTAACATCGTCAAAATTGCTCACAAGCCTTGCAATTCGCTCGGGTTCGTCGGATACCCAGAAAGAATCTGCAAGCAAGACCTAGAGGGTCTTGGCCAAGGGGTAGACCTAGACCTCATTTTTACTTTAA